AGACCTGACAAGAGATATTTTCGAATTAGTCATGTCCTTATGCTAATAAGTAACTTGCAAAAAAGATTTTTCTTCAACTCGTCTGCAAAAAATCTCCAGCCAAATCTATTTCGACTTCATATGTGTAAGCCTTTCTCTTGCTCAACGTCACTTCTGAAAATGAAAACATAAATCATTTAGGAAGTCGACATGATAAGAGTAAGTAAGTTACAGAGTTACTCAAGAAACTTAATTCCCGAAGCGAAAATTTTTAAAAGTATTGTGTGTGAATGTTCTGTAAACACTTGGACACTCAATTATTTTCTGATCGGAACATTACTCGAGAAAAATCATAGATATGAAAGTGTCCGACAGGATCTTGCTACTAAGTTTCTGTCTGTATTAGTTAAACATATTTCTCAGCACTGGGCCATTTGTATCATCTCAAAAAATCACTGGGCAATAAATTTTCAAACACTGGGCAATTGCCCAATGGCCTCCCTCTGGATACGCCAATGCCTGTTGTGAGAATTTTTTACCTTTCCCATCTTCCTGGATTTGAAGGCTAGGTGCCTCGTTGAAATATGTTCAGAAGCAATAGCCCAGCCGGTTTTTGATTAGCCTCTATTGCCCAGTAATCAGAAAAGTTCTGCTGGGAATCTGCCCAGTGCTAAAAAAATCCTGGATACGCCACTGGGGACAACGAGCAAAGTTTTCTTTTTAATAGAGCTGCCGGGAACCACAGGATATATTTGACCCAGAAAAATTCTTCCCTGAAATTTATTTGATTATGTGCAGTTTTTGACGTTGATTCCGAATATGTTGTCTATTTTGCTTTAGGAATGTGCCATGAGAATCAAAATCGCTAAAAATGTTCATTTTCTATTGGAAAACGATTAAAAGTCCTCAAAAATGCGAAAGTGTTAGCTCTATTTTGTGCCGAGGAAACACTTTTTTCTGAATATTTTTTTAGCATTTTGTAGAGGAAAAAAGTTACACAACATATATGAAACTCAACTCGAGCCGGCATAAGTCTGAAACACAGCAGTAAATACACTGTTTTATTTGAACTGATCAATAGTACTCCCTTCGACTCATATTCGCTTTATAAAAATTGAGTTGATCGACATTACATTATATCGATATAACTTATTTTGTTGCGCAGTATATCTCATCACCCAGTGATCGAAACTCCTAACCGGCACCAAGAATTTAAGAAGACAATCAAGGGTTTGCTCACCAGTACCATCAAAAAGTCTATCACCAATCTTATTTAATCTGACCGAAGAAGAGGAACGGAACACAATGGAGGGACAACAGCAACAAATCGGAAGTGAGAATAAAGCTCAGCTAGAAGCATTAAGTGCCGCATTTAACACAACGAAACAGATTGAACAGCACCTCTTACATAAAATATTAGAATTGAAGAATCCGAGTGCTCGAATCAAAGTGGCTTTCATATGTTCCGTCATTACTTACATCTAAAGCAAGAATATGGTATGAAAAATACAAAGCTACTATATTAGATTTTGATGATTTTGTTCATAAATTAACAACGGAATTTGGCTCAAAGGCAACTGTTACAGCATTCAGTACATTACCAAGGTCAGTTAGAACAATAGCAACGTCAAATAATTTTACGCTCATTAAGAAAAGATCCGATAGAATTAAGTCTCATAAAACCTCTTAATAAGCAAGTAATTAAAAATTTAAGAAAATTTAACGGAAAGAAGGAGACAGTAGTCAGTTGGTTAGACGACCTGGAATCTCAGTTAAATGCCCATGGTTGGTCGGAAGACATTAAACTTAAATGTATACCGGCAGTATTGCAAGACCATGCACTAAAATGGTACACCAGAAATACCTCGTCCATCAAAACGTGGCAACAGTTTGTTAAACAGATTAAAGATGAATTTGGCTCAAAATTCAAACAGATCGATGCTTTTGAACGATTGAAAAATTAAAAGCAATGTGTTAATCAGGCAGTAATTGAGTTTATAATGGAATCCTCGATATCAGTCGAGAAATAGATCCGTCACCGACGGATCATAATATTTTACAACATCTGATTTCAAATAGCAAGCCATCATTAAAACTCAAAATTTTAGAAAAACAACCAACGTCTATTAGTGAATTTTTAAGCTGTGCAAAAACGTTTGAACAATTAGCTGACTTGATGAAAAATGATTCGTTAGCAACAGCAACAATGCATGAGGTTACCCCACGTTATGTAGCTCCACAAAGAAGATATGAACCACAACAGCCGCAGCATCCATATCTGAATGGAGAATTCCAATGTAACGATTATGGTCGTTTTTCCATGGATTTAAATCCATCAGTTCAAGAACAATCTCAGAGCCGACAAACAGCCTCAGCTTCTAATTCTGCCCAACAACCTCTTATGGAATCCGAATATAATTCAAAAGGAAAACGATATTATATTCGAGGCAGTCAGCGTTTACAAAATTATACCGGTTGCTACATTTGCAAAGCGTTAGATCACTATGCCCGAGACTGTATGGAAAATCAACATTTTCATTAGTGGAGATATCGATAGATGGTGATGCCTCCAGACACAATGAAATTTATAATCCATCATTAATTTTTGTTACACTCACAGTTAATAATCAAAGGATGAGAGTAATGATCGACACCGGGGCTACAAATACTATTATCACTGAAGCAGCTTTAAGGAAAACGAAACACCAAAAATTTATTACTCGCGGAAACAAACATGATTTGCACTGACTGATGGATCTTCATATCTGAACGTTATTGGTACGGTGGAACTACAAATAAAAGTTGATAAAATGATTACAACAATTGAAGCAGTAGTGGTAAAAAGTTTAATAACTGACTGCATCATCGGAGGAGATTACATTAAGAAGTTGCCTTACAAATAGATGCTGGCAAGGAAAGCGTTACCATAAAGAAAGGAAATCAATTAGTGACCATACCAATGGAAAAACAAATAGATTCATTGAAAGTACCGATTAGATTAACAAAGTCGGTGAGTATACCACCGCGAGAAGAAATGAATGTTCACGTATCCGCTTGCGTCTCAGCAGCAAACGTTGTTTTTAAACCATCATACATTTGAAAGAACAAATTCCAGTATTCATGCCGAATTCGTTATTGGAGATCAAATACCATCATGCAGTTCTTTCTGTGCATAATCCAACCAATTATCCATGCACCTTCAATAAAGAGATTATATTAGGGTTTCAACATTGGCGGCCCAACAGCCATCGGAAATTACACCATCAACAAAAAAATTGAGCTTGCACGAGCACATTGAGGCGATGGTGAAGAAAATTGAGAACCGCTACACGCTTAGCGATGTGAAAGGTATCACGGTGTAAACTACCGTGATGGATTTCGAAAAATACGTCTCGACTTCCAACATTTGTTTGATAATTCCCAATTGACAATTGCAAAGACTGAAGTATCACATGTGATAAATACTAGTTCACATTCCCCACCGTGCTCTAAGTGTTATCCAATGACTAAGCCGAAGGAAGAGGCATTATATAACATCTTAACAGAATTAATGAAAGCGAGGTTGATATCTAAAGCCAAGTCCCCGTATGCGGCTCCAGCATTGTTAACACCCAAGTCAGACGGTACCTGGCGATTCGTGGTAGACTATAAACGATTAAATAATGTCACGATAAAAGACCAGTTTCCACTGCCCAATATGGAACAAACACTTCAAAGATTGGGAGAAGGATAGGAGTATTTTACCAAACTCGACTTAAAATCAGGATTCTGGCAAATTTCAATCAAAAAGCAGGATCATCCTAAGACGGCTTTTATTACGCTCTTTGGCTTGTATCAGTTTAATGTTTTACCCCAAGGGCTCACAAACTCTCCACCCACCTTCCAGCGGGTCATGTCAACCGTTTTGGAGAGTTGTCGTCATTTCTGTGAAGTATATCTAGATGACATCGTAATATTTTCTAAAACGGCAGAAGAACATCTTGATCATGTATATAAAGTTTTACAATGTTTACGCCAGAACAACACGAAGCTCAATCCACCCAAATGCTCAATCGCACAACCCAAAATAGACTATCTCGGGCATAGCATCACGGCTACAACCATTTCTCCTCTGAATGAAAAAATTAATGCTATTTTAAAATTACAAGAGCCACGTACATTGAAAGAAGCAAATCGATTTATTGGCGCTATCGCATGGTATCGTAAATTCATTAAACGATTTGCTGAAGTTGCTGCACCAATTCATTCAGTCACAAACTTGACGAAGAAAACCCGGCATAAATTCAGATGGGGAGATGATCAGTTCTTGGCCTTCCACCAATTGAAAAATATGCGAACGACCGCACCCTTATTGTTACAGTTTTCGATTGAAGGAAAACCGTTAATACTCAGTACCGACGCATCCGATGTAGGCATCGGAGGGGTATTACAGCAAGAAATCGATGGCTAAATTTACTATCATTCCCAGTTCATAACGAAAGCGGAAAGGAAGTACGACACAATAGAGAAAGAAGCATTAGCGATATACAAATGTTTAGAACGCATGAGGTCGTACATTTTGGGTAAAACCGTTATAATATATACGGACCATTGTCCGCTGTGCAACATGATGAACAAAAATGTCAAGAATACACGTGTGGCAAATATTGCTAATATGTTGCAAGAATACAATATACGAGAAATTATACATATAAAGCGAAGGTATAACTGCCTTTCGGATTATTTGTCTAGAAATCCTGCTACCGAGGTAGATGCATTGTTAGATGCTGATTATGGGTTGGAAATGAGTAGCAGTGGCCGCCACACGGCTAGCGACGTGGTCGGCGTAGTAACACGATCAGCAGCGAAGACAGCAGAGGTGACGATGAGGAGTCTATCTGCAGAAAAGCCTGCAAATAACACTTCACTTACAGAAGCAGAACTATCAAAAGAAAGAGTATTACCAAGCTTTTTGGACAAATTTGATCGAGGCGCAGCAGAAAGATTCAGAAATTCAGAAAAAGATCAGCGAAGTTCAGGAAAATCCGAATAAATATCCATATGTGTTGGAACATGGTGTCTTTTATAAATTATTGTCAAGAGATTCTGGAAGAACTAAACTTATTTATCTTCCTAAAACAATGATAGCACCTGCTCTTCGATCCTATCATGATCATCCACTAGCGGGACATTTCGGGCTTCACGGAACATATGATAAAATGAAATACAAGTATTGGTGGTCTGACATGCAACAAACAATACACGATTACATCAATTCGTGTCGCAATTGTAACTAGCATAATTATAGTAGGAAAAAGAAACCTGGACATTTGTATCCAGTACCACCACCACAAGGTCCGTTTCAGATGATCGGAATTGACCACTGTTGACCTTTGATGTTAGCACCACGTGGAAATCGTTATGTTCTATGCATAACAGATCATTTCTCGAAATGGGTAACAGCGGTGCCGTTGCCAAACTGTACAGCTCAAACAACTGCTGAAACCATATTTACTGAATACATATGTAAATTCGGAGTACCAACAGTCATTCTATCGGATAATGGTACACATTTTCAAAATCAGTTGATGTCAGCGTTAACGTATTTATTAGGTCACAATCATATATATTCCACAACTTATCACCCTCAAACCAACGGTACGGTAGAGCGTTTTAACGCTACGTTTGTTCCACAGTTGGCGAAATTACAGGACCAGGAGTCCAATAACTGGGATGATTTTCTTCCAGCGGTGATTTTTGTTTATAGCACAGGTCAACAGTTCTAAACAAAGTTTAGCCCATTCCAGTTGCAATATGGGCAAGTCCCTAAGTTACCACCGGATCAAAGCCCAAAGACGTTGGCATTTAATGAACCGTGCGACTATTATTATCAACTTCAAAAGAACCTTAAGATCTATCATAAATATGCGCGTGAAAACATGATTCATCTGCAACAGCTTTCCAAACAACGATATGATCGTAATCGAGCAGATCCGCATTATCAAGTTGGAGATTTAGTTTTAACACGATATTATGGGAGGAAACATAAACTGATCGAAAAATTTTCAAGAACGCCATCCAGAATCATTGAAGTCAAGCATCCAGTTTATTGGGTGGAAGATGTTGAAATGAAGGCAGTGACACGAGTACATGTTAATGATTTACGTCTCGTGCTGCAAAAACAAAAATAACACCAAATAAGGTCCACACATGCATTTTTCATAAAGTCCATAAATAACTCTGTTTCAATTACTACATAAAGTAATTAATTAATTGGTTAACTACACGAATATAGACTTAGTGAGTTTCAGCTTGCGTGAGCTTGATAGTGAGTTTAAGTTAAACGCTACGTTAAATAAGAAAGACCCATTACCTATACTTATATAATTATGTTAGAACCATTTTATAATTTCATGTGATTGAGAATTGCATAATAATACCTTGCATGGCGATGAAATGGCATAACAATGGTGAACTTGACTAGCTACCAATTGACTCATGACCATGTCATAAAGCATTATATTCCATGGGTTAACACGTGGCTTATAATACAGGATTTCCGCAAGTATGAATGGCAATTTTGATAAATCATTTGAATGTTCAACAACTACTCTTAGAGTGACAGTCGTCTGAGGACGCTCAGAAGATTGCAAAAGACGATCACTAAAAAGTCCTTATCTAGTTTACTTTAGTACATTATGCTTCATAAAATAATATCAACATTGTTTCCGAAGCAACGTGCATCCAATAACAAATACAGCAAGTTGCCCATATTTAAATTGCCGGTAGGGGACCGGGTTTCTTCCGGTCCCACGGATTCGTTACAAATGCTAACAAATTCGATCCCATCAATCCTCAAGCAACCTGTAGTTTATTATTTGGATAGTCAGACATCGATTCGTTCTACGGAGGATTTAATAACCGTATGTACAGGCACAAAACATTATATTATTGATACGGAATCAGATCTTAATACTCACCTACCCTCAATTATTCAGATCTTACCAATACCTGCCGACTCATCAGCAACCCTGTTAGTGCTCATCATTATTGAAGTTAATCACTTACCACCGAAGGGAAAATTTCGTATAAAAATCGATGAGGTGTGTAGTGTCATCTTCAAAAAAGATCATCATTTCCAAGGGAGGGGAAGACTGTCTTGCAGAACTAAAGCAATTCAAAGATTATAAATTATTCAATACGTCAAATATTGTTCAATTCACATGATATCCAAGGATCATTTAGAACGTACTACAATCAGCTCCACCACCATTCGTCGGATTGTCCCGTTCGAAAATTACAACTTGCTACACTCTTACGCGATGAATATCTTCTTACTACAACACCATATGATGATCTCGAAGGGGACGAAAATGCGGATCATCCGGAATTGGATCATCCGAATTGCGATTTTCGTTCATATAAACATCCAGGCAACCCCTGGAGCTTACAACGAGCATTAGTTCTCCAATTTGGGTTATTTTTTTTTAAGAACCATACATGTTCAAATTGGAGTGCCGGTATTGATTTACAGCTACGTACTTGGAAATTTCATAATGACAAATTAAGACGAGAACAACGGCAGATCAGACAAGAACTTGAATTATACGCAATCAACGATGTTATAGCAGTGTGG